GATATCTCACTAGGAACAAGCTAGGGGCACGAACTTTTTTTACGATAGACATAATTCATCAAGGCCTACAAGATGCGCAAAGTCTCGACTAAAAATCGCTTCAACACCTGGGAATGTTCCCTCGTCAGCACGGTGAATTAATCCTGCTTAGATGCTTTTTCAGATGATCACAAGTCAATTGGTTGAAATCGAGAGTATTAGGAAACATCTTATAACTCTCAAACGATACAAACTAGGAATATCGAGTTTGCATAGATCAATAGACAAATAGCTTCAGAGTATTATTGTAAAAAATTTCTGCTAAAAACTCATCTGATTGTTTAATTCCTGGCTAATTAAATTTTGATAAACTTCGATGGTCTCGTGTCTGTCCTCTTGAATGATGAAAGCAGTAAGTCTCTATGATGTTTCTACCAAAAATTATCCGAAAAGCATTGAAAAATATTATATTTTGAAATGCTTAATAACAGTTGTTTTTTTCAATGATCAAAATGCTGCTACGTTGAATAGGTTATAAGTATAAAATCATTATAAAACTTTTGGTATGATACTATACTCTTATCATGAGACATTCGAACCAATCAAAAGACTGGCTGCTAACTCGTCATCAGAGTTCGTACAGTAGATCTCAAAGTGCATTCGTAGAACGCTTTACTTGCATCATTCTGTAGAGTGTGCAATATTAACAAGATTCACACCTACTTTCTTTAATCGCTTCATTTGGTCTGCAAGAAAAAAAAATTCTTTTTACCGGCATATTTGCTTATGTTTTGAAAATGCAAAAAAACGGTACTAAAACAACTAGTGTGAAACATTCTAGTGAAAGCTTTATTTTCTCGCTGACCCAATAAAGACCTTAGAGCAAACAGAGTGAATCTTATTATAAATGCACGTTTTACACGATGGTGTAAATTAAATACTCCACGAATACAGTTCGCAGTCTATTGCACGAACATTCCGGACAATCTGTTATCTGAACAATTACAAGTGAAATGGCACATTTGATGAAGGCCTGTAAACGAGTAATTCGTTCTGTTATATCTCTAACCTATGCTATAGTGTAATCATGAAGATATATTGAAGAATACTTCTATTATTTGTTCATAATTTTGCATATACCGTATTGACTTTTGTTTCATTGGAATAGTCGAAGACAATGGTTTATATCGAAAGCAATATATCAACAAATCATCTTTCGTTTTCGTTTGTAATTAAAATAAATCATTCATACTATCTTTGAGTTTACTTCACAAAACATAGTCTTCGACTTTGATATCATTTTATTTATAATAGGACGAACGTATTCTATTTCATTATAATGGCCATGGTGTACCACGACCGACAGCTAACGGAGAAATTTGGGTATTCAATAAGAATTTTACGCAATATATACCATTATCTTTATATGATTTACAAAAATGGATGAGTTCACCATCAATCTATGTATTTGATTGTTCTCATGCCGGTGTTGTTCTTAATTTATTTGTTAAATTTGCTGAGCAAATTGATAAAGAACTTGAAGACGCTCGAAGAAATATAGCACAAACTCCTTTCTCTTCTTCTACACCTGCTCATGCCACAGGTCCAATACTACCACTTCTCCCTACATCTTCACCTATACATGATATATTACTTGGTGCTTGTGGTGAAAATGAACTTTTACCTATGAATCCTGAATTACCTGCTGATTTATTTACATCTTGTTTAACTACACCCATAAGAATAGCATTACGTTGGTATGTTTTACAAAAAAATATAAGTCGTCTAAATCCAAATATTGATCAAGATATGATTGATAAAATACCTGGCACAGTTACTGATCGAAAATCAATGTTAGGTGAATTAAATTGGATATTTACTGCTGTAACAGATACAATTGCATGGAATTCATTACCAAAAGATACATTTCAACGTTTATTTCGACAAGATCTATTAGTTGCTTCACTTTTTCGAAATTTTCTTCTTGCTGAAAGAATTATGCGCTCATATGGTTGTCATGTTTGTTCACGACCAGCATTGCCACCTATGTTTGAACATCGATTATGGTTGGTGAAGTTGAATAGTTTTTGCTTTTGCTTTTGATGTGTTAAAATATAGTTTGAAGATTTTCTTTTAAATTTAATTTGATTGAGAAATTTTCAAAGTATAAAATTCTTTACAATTAATTAGGATATGTTAGTCAATCGTAAAGTGAATTTAAGATTAGTATTTGGACAATAATAATTGTTTAGATAAAAGAGCACAGATGTAAAATATTTGGTAATTAGATTAATTATTACTTTCCTATGATAACTAGTTGTAGGCTGATAAGAAATAATTCGTAAATATGACTTGCTAGTTGAACTAATGTTTTACACATCAGTAGTAGTTTCCAACGAGACTAATTGAAGTGTATCATCCAGAGCCCGTAAGTATGCGTTGTCCTTCCTAAACTTTATGCGCTTCTATTAATCTCGTCGGAACCTACTGTGACGTTTCCAGTTTATTTTTCATGTGTTGTTTATGTATGACGTTTTAAACTCTCATTGTCAACCGCTGTCTTCTTTCATAACTATGTATCTCTAGTTAGTTTATCATTTATCTCTTTTCTCTTCATGTTTAGATTATCGCTTTCTCTAGTCTTCTTATTTTCTTTCATCTCTCTTGCTTCGTATATAATCCATGAATATTATAAAGTACACATTAGGTGATTAAACCAAAATCGTTGCATCAATTAATTGGCGAAATATCAGTTCGATTGATGAGTCACATTTGCAGAAGTTCTCTCGTGAGACAGAAAAAGACTAAGCAAATGAATTCATAGGGAACAATGAAAGAGCGTAATCGAGGGCGAAATTTTAAACGGATCGCATTCACTTTGCCAACACATTACTTGGTCAACAACTTGTTTTGTTGACAAAAATTTGAGAGTGTTGGTGTGGATGTGATGTTCTGAGAGTAGGAAGACCACCCACATGCCGACATCCCAAACTCACATTCACAACCCTTAAATTTTTGTCGGCAAAGGGATCCAGACCCGTTTAAATATATGTATTTACAGGAAATTTCCAAAACTTCGTCTTGACTTATAAAATATTTTTCCAATCATCGTATCTTATAGACAAATATAGAAGTTATTTAAAATACTTGCAATCGTTGCATTGACTTACATTTCGCAAATACCATCTCTTTAAATAAAGCAAGTATGATGTTTAACTATACCAATACTAGCATGGAACACTCTTCCGCATTCATGCAAAATGTATGACTCGTATGTTATTGCTGAAGTGTTTTCTGCATGTACCGACTAGACTATTCGAACTGTGTTCAATGCTGCATGTCAATCAAAATAAAAATTCGCACGTACGAATAATTATTACCAGTATGATTCTGATTTAGCATGCTAATTTCTAGTATTTTGTAGTATAGTATGTTATTTAACTTTTTCTTCGATACGTATAGATTTATATCTTGTTCAAATGAAAGCATTCTCTTATAATCACAGTATATTTACTTTTAAATCTTAGTTTACTTTTTCAAATTATTCATAGTTATTAGTATTCATGTGCATGTATGCTGAATAGTTTCCTGACGATCATTCTACAGTTCAATTTCCATTGCACTTTTCATGTAAGTATATAGTTGAATATTGAAAAAATTTCATCTGAAAAAATAAAATACGCATGTTTGAATCCTATTTCTGGTAAAAAAGAATCTGCCGTCGTTTTTATGAATGTTTGCTTGCATGTTCTTCATTTTTTGTTTTGGCTATTCTAATATTGTTTTGCATGCGCAAACGCTAGATTCTCTACAAAAATGCCTTTATCACAAGGTTCAAAAAGACTTTTAACTTTTGTTGTTGAATATTTTAACGACTCTAACGAACGAATGTACATTTTCTCGTTCGAAAGGATGATTACATACTTCTCTAAGGCATGACTACGAGCCACTAGTGGTGCCAAAGGTGAGCTGAGCTCTCCCGTCTCGACCAGAAATCATGGCGTCGCTATTACTACGAGCTTCCAAGAAGCCAACTCGGTTTTTGCGGTTCGTTACTTCCGAAATGATCAGATACTTCAATGTACAAGTTTAAAAAAAAAGCGAAACTTCGAACTGTATTTTAATTCATCAAGCAATAAAAACGAATATCATATATATTTTATAAAGACTATTTTTCGTTAGGAATGCATGGGATATGGCACTTGATTTATGTCTTAAACAATTACCATCTGTATTGAAACAAACAGAAAGTGGTATACGTGAACCTATTTATGAACCAAGTTCGTTTTTTGCCGATCAATTAACAGCATTTTCAGTTTGGCTTGGTGAAAATTCTTTATTAACAGCAACGCTTGAAAAAGAACATTTGAAACAACCTGAACAATTACCGATTGTTTTACAAGTTTGTTTTTTTTTTGTTTTTGCTAATAAAAAATGAATTATTTTTATTTAAAGGTATTACTCAGTCAGTCTCATCGACAGCGAGCACTTGATTTACTTGCACGTTTTCTTGATATTGGTACATGGGCTGTTCATCTTGCACTATCAGTTGGTATATTTCCCTATGTACTTCGATTATTACAAGCAACAAGTGATGATTTACGACCGTATCTTGTCTTTATTTGGGCAAAAATATTAGCAGTTGATCGAGTATGTAAAACTTATCACAATCATTTTTTTAAGCCTTTTTTTAAATATAGGCATGTCAAATAGATATTATACGTGAAAAAGGTCATGAATATTTTATTTCAACATTAACCGATGTTCGATCTTCAAATGGTGTTCGTGCATTAGCTGCTTTTAATTTAACTTGTTTAGTTGATAATTATACTAAAGGACAGGTATATGATTCTCTTTACTTTGGTCGAAAGTAAAACTGGCGAAACAAACATGTCAAAATAAATAGAATGATACAACTGTCGAAAGTAAAGAAATCGATAGTAAAAATATCGAAACTAAAAATGTCGAAAATTGGAGTGGATACTTCTTAACATTTTCTTGCTAAGACAATTAAGAAAGCAAGCAGCTAAATTCCAACCAAATGGGATAAGTGAGTGTGGGTGTGGATATATACAAACGATTGCGAGCTACCCACACCCACACCCTACCGTTCCGTATATTCTAAGCGCTATAAAAGAATAACGTCCGATTGAGCCCAAATTTTTACCAGATGCTCTTACATATGTATCCTACTTATGACAATATCGCGAGCTTGTAAAATCTTTCCTATGCTACTTTACAGGATGTTCAAAATACCAAGGTATCTGGTCAGAAATCCGATTTTTAGGCACCCGTGTTACACTGTGAAGAAAAACCAAGGTGATATTCGGAATCAGCACTTTAAACTGCATCGAATGACATAAGACTCAAAATATTTTTCAAAAACAAAATTTCTCGAAAACATATGAACAGGAATCCTCCACTAATATTTTGCAAAAAACATTTTTCACTAAAAAGCTTTTCTGTTCTTGAAAATGATTTCCTGAGTGACACATACGATCATTTCTGAGCAAATAAAAACCATTTTTGTTCGAAAAAGCCACATATCCGCCTGCTCATGTGAAAGCTCCCCACTGTACTACGCCCACTCTTTCTGCAAATTGCATGCGATCGAGTGAAGAAAAGTCATAAAAAACTTCAAAAAATGGATAGCTAGTTTTGGAAGCCTTGATTTTTTTAGATATCCTCATTCAAGCAATTTTCTCGAAGTTTTCAAGTTCACAAATCCGAATAGAGAATCCTTAAAACTTTTATCTATTACTATATAAACTTTCGTTCTTTTTTTTTGCTTTAGGATGAATTATTACCAGTCATGTCTCGTGTACTTGATATTTTAAATACGCCTACACCATATTTTCATGAAACATCAGCTCTTTTTCTATGGTCAACATTATTTCTTGGACAAGCTTGGCGTTCAAATGCAAATGCTTGTGAAAAAGCTGTTCTTATTCGTGCACCAGATACATTACAAATTTTACTTACTACACATGACTCTCCTGAAGTTCGTGCTGCTTGTGCATATGCTTTAGGTACTTATTTATCATCATCAACATCGGGTAATGAATTAAGTGAACGTCGAAGTGAACAATCAAAAGAAGCAGCTACTGTTCTTATGCGTAGTCTTCATGATGGTTCACCACTTGTTCGACAAGAAGTTCTTGTTGCTTTACATCATTTTCTAAACTTATTTACTCAAACAACTACTACTAGTGGAACAAATATTACAAGTAATGTTAATCGTACTGGTAGTTTATTATATAAAACTGTTTTTGATAAAGTTACAGAAGCAATACAAACTGTTGCTTCATCTGATCCATCACATGAAATGGTACAATTAGCTGAAACAATTCTCACACATTTACAACAGCCAGTTAGCACAACATTTTTTCAATGGTGTTGCAGTCGATTTCGAGTATCAAATACAATAACACGTGATCTTGGATCTGGTATAGCACAACAACTAGGTGCTTCGTATAGTGAAGATGAAGACGATTGTTTTGCTCGTAGTGGTCGTTATTGGCGTAATTATTGTATACGTTCAAATCCTAGTAGATTAGCTGATTTTCAACATATGCGTGAAACAATATTCAATAGTCGTATATCAAGTGCTGCTCCACTTGTTTTATGTCTTCATCCATATGAAAATTATTTAGCCGTAGCAAATTTACATGGAAATTTGAACTTTTATGAATTTGATGGAACTCCACGTTCAAAATCGACATTAAAGGTTGTTTTTTTCACTTTTTCTAATAGAAGAAAGAAAGAAAAAACAAGAAAAATATTTGTCTATACGAGAATTTTCCCCTTCGTTATGAAACAAAGCACAACAAACAGTATTCTTAGTGAGTGTATGGAGCTTATTAAACTGATTCTATAATATCAAGATCTTAGACTACTTTAGGTTCTATATTTCATAATAGAAAATCTCTAAGTATGACTCATCAATCAAACTAATATTTTGCACATGAGTAGGCATCGACGAGACTAGAACAAGCCTGTAAGGATTTATTTCCATGCATTGTCTTTTCCAAGTTATTTTAATTTATAGCGAGTTATTTTATCTTTGACAAAATATTGGTGCAACAATCGAAATACAAAATCTCAACTTGAAATTTTGCCTATAGGTAACTTTCGTGGGTTGTAGAATCTCCTGAAAGTTTCAACCCAAAAGAATATGTTACTTTGGAGATGTCGAGTACTGAAAACATTAGGCTTTTTTTTACCTTTGTTTTTGGATATTCAATATCAGAATTTTCAGAAATATTCTAAGACTAAAGAGCGGTACCTATCATCGTATGGAGACGAACTATGCTTCTTTGTCAGCTATTAATATCGTTCTATAAATTAATGAATTTCATGGATCATTATTTAATAACTATTTCTGTATTCTTATACAGTTTCAACATGTTGCTATTGGAACTATTTAAGAGAGAATTCTTGATCAGGCGAAGCAAGAATATGTTTTGTCCTTTCAATATGATCACTATTGCAAAACACAAAGCATATTCTTGCTAGAGATTCTATCCTATTAAATAATATTCGTCTAACACAATCACTTAAATTTAATTCTATGTGTTAAATAATAAAATTTAACAAATATAGTAAATGGTCCACTACTAGTTTTATCTGCTATGTATTGAAATTAAATATATGAGATATGTCTTTCATAACTCTCATATTTTTCAATTAGTCATCATTGATTTGATGCTTGCCAATCTTATTTTATCTATTGGCATGACTTTAGAATCTATTTTATTTTTAGGTAGGTTCAGTAGGTTCAACGATCAATACATTAGATTTTATTAATGCACATGATCGAACATTAATTTGTGTTGGCACTGATACTAGTGCTATTCGTATATTTGATGAATCTACTCATCGTCTTATTTCATCATGGATAGCTTTATATGATCAACATAATCATTTTCATTCTTCTCCTCATCATCATCGTTTAACGACTAATCCTACTGCAACTACAAATACGAATATTTCTACATCACCAGCAAAATTCGTTGTTGATTGGAATCAACAATTATGTCGTATATATGCATCAAGTTCTGATATTGATTATATATCCCTATGGGATGTTGAACGTGAACGTTGTTTATATACAATGGATACAGGTACATCTGGTGGTGTTTATTGTCTTATATCAGATTCTAATGGTTATTGTGCAGCTGGTCTGGGTGATGGTACAGTACGTTGTTTTGATACACGTTCACGAGAAAATACAATAGCTATTATTCCATCACCAACATCATTAAATCGTCATTCTCCAATAATAAAATTAAGATCTGATATGAATGATCGTTTATTATCAATTAGTAATATGGGACAATTAAGACGATGGGATATTGAAACAGGTATTAGTGCTGAATTACCTGTACCACAAACATCTCAACATATATCAGCAGCTGATGTTCATTTAACAGGTAATGTATTAGCACTAGCAACATCTAATGCTTTACAATTTAAAACATGTTTCGGTGATCTACTTTTTGATATAAAAAATTCGAAATTTGCTCAAGTATCATGTTTATCATTTCATCAATATCGACAATTACTTGCTGTTGGATTTAAAGATGGTTCTTTATCAATGTTTACTGGAAAGACAAATTCATCAACTGTATGATGATGTTTCCTTTTTTTTTTGTGCTCTTTGTTATTGTTGGTTCTATTTTTTTTTTCGTGTTTTTTCTATTGATTCAGATGATTTTTTTTTGCTAATATATTTCTACTCTTGATGATAGTGGAAATTTTAAAGTTCTTTTTTCGTATTCATTTATACAAAGAGAATTTTTATAAAACATATCTACACCAGTGATACTGTTTTCGTTTTTTTCATCTTGAAAAAAAAAAAAAAAAATAATAATACGAGCACTAAAAAAATTAAATCGAATCTTTTAATGGCGTTTTTCTTGTGCGAATACTTTAGTTCTGTGAATTGTGATCTTATATTTGCTAATTTTATCTCTGCTAGAATAATAATAAACAAGTAAATATCAAATAGAAATAAATCCTTTATTAAATGGTTATCTATTTGGATCACTTTTAAGGTTAACTACTTAATATGTAGACAAGACAAACAATTATATTTTATATGAAATTTATTGTTTTTCAATAGTCGAATTGAAACTATTTGATTTTTTCATTAATAACGATTTTTATTTTCTATAAGAAAGGCAAATACAATGCAGTCATAATGATCTGCGGATAGAATCTATTGAATCTAAAATTTTCGAACCCGAACCCTATCAAAGCGTACTTTGATACTCTCAAAGAAATTTTCTAATCAATATTGTATGGTCATCCCGAAGATACACAATACTTTTGTCTGACCTTTTTATATCTATTAACTATAGGTGTAAGCTAATCGGCTAGCCATCACTGTCACAACACAAAAATAAATATTTTGATTTTCAAAAAAATTTCCAATGCCCTGAATCAGCTTTTGCAGATGTTACCGTCTGATCTTGTTCGAGCATTGTTTTCATTACAAAATCTCTTGAAACGTCGAATTTTTTTAAAAATCAAAATATTTATTTTTGTGTTGTGACAGTGATGGCTAGCCGATTAGCTTACACCTATAGNCGTGATTTTCCGGACCCCCAATCACGTGATTTCGGACAGACCCCCCCTCCCTACAAAAAAAACTTTCCAGAAAAAAACCCTGCAAATTTCTCAATTTTTAATAAAACAATGATGACCCCAAGGGGGGGGGGGGGTAGCTTTGCGAAAGTCCCCCTACTCCCCCTCAGGGCTATGTCAAATCTCGGGTCCAAAAAAAATTTTTCACACCCCGTACTTGATCACGTGATTTCCGAATGATCCCTTGTTCATAGTTCCAACAATGAACTGTGAGGAAGGGCAATGTCATGGAATCCAGTATTACAGACGTGTCTGTCTAGGGAACAACAGTCGTGCATCTAGATTTTTTTTCATCTGACTTACTACTATTAAATTATCTTTAAATCATAAACAAACTTCATTTCTTGTTTAGTTCACTTTTAGAGTAATAGCAATTCAACTTGTCTTTATCCGCAACATAAATCCCAATAGTATTTCTTGATACATCAGGAAATAATTCTCTATTCAAAAATTCTCATTTGAAAAAACATACAAAAAATAATTTTTTTTTTCTCTTCATAATAGAATCCATTAGAGATTGAATGCTATCAGTGTTTTACATTAGAATCATAAGAGATTTTAATCAACACACATTGATTGTACCATATAGATCGAGAATAAATATACTGAAGTCTTACAATTTGTATGTGATCATATTTTGAAAGCAACTATCAGTCAAGTTGTCTGTGTGAATTAATTTGACATATGGTTTATCTTGTCGATTCTTTTTCATATTCCCAAAACACAATATCAATAGAAACGATAATGGAAAAAAAAAATATTTAATAAAACATGACATCTCAAATGTGAACAAAACAACTGAAAGGTGAAAAACATATTTAATTTTGTTATCTAACCATAAATTACAAAAGTATATAAGTTTTTCCTTTGTATTTAACTAATAAATCGAGCTTTAGCTAATCGCTTCTTTTCATTGATAACAATAACAATAGAAAATAACCTGGACAATAAAAACGACTATCTATTAGCTGTTTTTAATGTTAGTAGTTAATAGACTATGACAGAAAACTGATTTCTCAAAGAAGAAAGAAATAGAGTATACTTGATGTTAATTATCTGCGAAATTAATTAGAAATTCTCATAAGATTAGTTCAAATCGTACACAAAATGGTATCATCAAAAATAGATTATAATTCATGGTGATCGAAACATTCTTTTCATAGATGATCAAGAAGAAACAAATGAATTATTGTATTTCACAAAATATAATCTACTATTTTGAATAGATTTGCAAGTAATCATAGGTTTTTTTTTCTATCATGCAGATATGCATTAGGATTATTCTTTTTTTCTTCTTTTCATCCAGATTGTCATTAATTTCCTTCAATTATTTCAAGTATTACCTTTTTCTCTCGTTAATTTAACTATTATGCCAATAAAAACTTATTTAATTCAATTAAATAGCAACAAACCAAATGATACTTCATCATTATTGTCTATTTTTAGCATTAAATAGATGCTTATTTTTATGTATATCAATTCTGTTCGATAAAAATATTATTCTGTCAATCTTTAGACCGTCATTTTCTAATGCAATTTAGTTGACACAATTGTTTTCTATTACAGGAGGAACAAAAGGAAAGATAAAAAAAAAAAAAGTCAATGTCGAGCATCGTAACAATTTGAGTATAAATTAAAATGAAAACAAGTCATTATATATTACAAGGATGAAAACTATTCTTATTTGAATTTCTTTTGTATTTAATTGTTTAAAGAGAAGAAAGAAAAACATTTATTGAGATTGTTTCTTTTAATTGTAAAAAACAATGATGAATCAATGAATAATATATTTATATATATATATATATACACACAGTTTTATTTTTCTTAAGAAGAATCATGTCCAGTGTTGTCAGCTGTTAATGGAAATGATAATATTGAAGAAAAAAATGTTTTTGGTTTGTAATGTGATCGAAATAATGATACAGATCGAATAATTGATAGATAAAAATGTGCATTTATCAATAGACAAGATAAATGAAAAATTAATGATGCCAATGATTTTATTTTCGTATCACTTGTTTTAAGAAACCATAAAGAAACTAAATAAAAACAAAAATATATATTTCTTAAGTTCAAAGAAAATAACATAAAACTTACTAAAAAAAGATAATGAATGAAATAAAGTAAGAGAAAAAAGAACAAGTTGTAAAGATGTTTTGTCTCCTGATCGAAGTGTTAAACCAAGCATTGTTGCCAAAACTAAATATTATTATATTGTCTAAATATTAAAAATAAACAAAATATTACATACAAGCATAAGATGTAGCAAGATGTAATGTTGATTCAAAATTACCAACTAATATAAGTCGTAAACAGGCCGGCCAAAGTAGACCCTATATGGCAAGAAAAAAACAAAAACAAAATCATGTGTTATTAATGATTTTCATAATAATTACCATCATAGTAAAACAACTAAATATGGTTGTTGTTAAAAGAAGCCAAGTAGCAAGTTTAGGTGGTAATTGAAATATTAAATGATCTGAATGTCCAAGTATTTGACTAATTTTTGAACCAGCTGTATCTCCAACACCCAATACTTTTCGAACTTTAAGACGACTTTGTAGATCACCACAACTACTTTTCCTTAAAAAAATATCCCTTTAAAGACATATATTATAAGAAAATATCATTTAATTATTATTCATTGCATGTAAAAAATAACCATCTACCTGCTTGTAACCTGCATTAATGTTATATGTATTGAATAATGAATAGTCAATAAGTATAAATGTGATAAATAGTATATTATATAGTAAT